GTGACGCCGACGGCCACGGCGAAGGGCAATGCGTCAGTGCCGTAGCATACGCCGGCGTTTGTCGCAGAAGTATAAATCAGCCTTGAGGGTGAATTGAGCACTGAATATTGGAGGCAGGATTGGATTTGAGCCGCACAAAGTGCTTTGCACACACCTGGCAACCCAGACTGCCTTGGTTTTGCATGTCACTCAGTTGCTTGGGTGGGTGTGACCAAACAGCAACCTCCCGCTTTCCCTCGTGAAGCCAATACGAAACGTAACTAAAACGGCAATTCATCGACTGGCCTTTGGGGGCTGGCTCCAGGAAGTCCAGATGTTCACTGCCTGCAATGTTAAATAAGCCATATTTACAGCTGATATAAACTTGTTTACAGCCTGGTACAAAAGACGTTTCTGGTTCATATAGCTAATGTTACTCTTCATGACAACTGTGAGGAGGTGAATGTTTTATAACGCACCTGTTATCTTTATATTAAGTTATATTAAGCCTGCAAAATTAAGGGTGTGGCCACTTGAGGGGCAGCTAGGTCTCGCTGTTTGCTGTCACTTCACTTCAGCTGATTCCGGCTGATTAGCTGCTGAACTCGGCATATACATCATATTTTTGTTTTGTTTTATGTGGCTTTATACAGTCAATTGCCTTTTGGGATTATTTCCGACAATTATCAGATGATATGGCACTTAATTGTGTTTACAAACCATTCAAGTGACCTCCATTTCCCAGGTTAGTGAAGTTACAGTTGAAGTCAGAATTATTAGCCCCCCTTTGAATTGTTTTTTCTTTTTTCACAGAATAAAGCAGCAGAAAGTTTTTTTCACAGAAATTTTCACAGTATGTCTGATAATATTTTTTTCTTCTGGAGTAAGACTTTTTTGTTTTATTTTGGTTGGAATAAAAGCAGCTTTTAATTAAAAAAAAACATTAAGGTCAATATTATTAGCCCCTTTACGCTAAAAAAGTTTTTTTTATTAGTATACAGAACAAACCATCGTTATACAATAACTTGCCTAATTACCCTAACCTGCCTAGTTAACCTAATTAACCTAGTTAAGCCTTTAAATGTCACTTTAAGATGCATAGAAGTGTATCTAGTTTAATATTATGTACTGTCATCAAGGCAAAGATAAAAAAAACAATTATTAGAAATAAGTTATTAAAATTATTATGTTTAGAAATGTGCTGAAAAAAAATCTTCTTTCTGTTTAACAGAAATTAGGGGGAAAATAAGGGGGCTAATAATTCAGGGGGGATAAAAATTCTGACTTCTGTATGTAATATGATCACCGTATTTTGACCCATACACACACAAAAAAAGTCTAAAATCCACCCAACCATAAGCTCAACAAATTATGTACCGTACACACAATCATATCAAAATGCTCATATAGCACACACAAAACACTTGTCACATCCTTTCCTAAGCTTCGAATACACACAAGACTAATTAACAACCATGCTTTTGGAAGTTTCGAACTTCACTATTGTAAAAGTAACCGTAATCTTAACACCATACAGACCATTTTGAGAGATGTAAACAAAAACAATGGTCCCAAAGTACTTCCTGTTTTACTTTTTTAATTTCCATAGCTTCTGAGAGTGCAAAATGAGCCACATATTAATAAATAATGTTATGATAGCTGAGTTATGATTAAATTGCCTCTTGTTACAGTTATAAAAAAGTATGATAACAAGCAGGAAATGTTCATGGGCCAATGACATGACCACATTGAAATGGTCTATATATAAAATCACTTTTTAGTTGAACGGTCACTTCATTTGTTCACGGTTCACACCTACTTTCACCAAATCCTACGGGAAACACTAAACCATGTACTGTAAACACACAATCATATCAGGATGCTCTTATAGCACACTAAAAAGCACTAGCAGTGAGCTCATGTGATTGACAGGGTGGCTGTGCGTCTTCACGTGCGCCTCTGCTTCACTGCTGAGTCATAATGAGGCCGGCACTGAGCGAGGCACGGGGTCAGCGCAGCGCTGCCGGCCGGCTGATGGGCACCAAATGAACAAATTATGACGCGGCCCCTGGATTGTGATGGGGTCAAACGCCCCCCACCCCTCGCTCAGCCCGCGCGCGCCCTCATTCGCCCCCCGCGCGCCCTACACTGACAGTTCAATTTCCCTGCGACGCCCCGCGTTCGGCCCCCATTCGCCCCGCGCTAATTATGAATGAAAAGTTATCAGCCGGCTCCCCCGGTGCGCGCTTAAACAGTATTTCAGAGCAGATCCGCACGTCAAAATGTTATTAGAAACGGGAGGAGCCGAGGCAGACAGTTCGCTCGCTGACCCCGGATCGGCTAAATACCGCCGCTAACCGTCCCAGAATGCATCAGAGTGCCTCTCTATTTCACACACCGTTATTTCATCTGGACCCCAAGTCGCGCACACACTCGTATGAATATATTTTCATACATCTGCATGCGCGCGGCTAAGAAAGAGCAGCTGTGTGACTGCGCGACACGCCGTAATGAATGGATGCATGTATGTGCGCGGCAGTGAGATGAGGTTTATCCAGCGTGACTAAGATTATAGCGGCCTGTAATGTATTTATGCATAGCATTGACTTTAAATAAGCCCTTTCTCTTTCTCTCAATCTCACCCTTTATTTGGGCTCTGATTAGCCTGGCCGCTGAGGCTCGTGGGTAGTATTCTAATGACCTGTGGATAACAGCTTCTAGCGGCGCGGCGGAGCGGGCCTGGCGGGCCTGTCAATCAAAAGCGGGCGCGCAGACACCCGCCCCAATGCTGAGATGCAGGTCAACGGGGCAAAGGCGCAGTGATGGACAGGAGGAGAATAGGAATTCTGACAGATGAAGGTTGGAGCCTGGAGGAAGTTTGAAAAGTTTACTTGGACTCAAGGATGTTGAGGATTGGGTGTTATAAGCAATCATAGTTCAAACTCAGAACAAACTCAGTTTAAGTAATAGTTCATTCAAAAATGAAAATCGACTCAGCCTTTGCTCAGCCTCAAGTGACTCTAAAACTGTTTTTTTCTGTTGAATAGAAAAGAAGATATTTTGAAGAATGTTGATAACCAGTACTATCATAGTAGGAAAAAAAAACTAGTGGACAAAGATTTCTTACATTCTTCCCAATATTCTTTTGTGTTCAATAGAAGCAAGAAACTTAAATAGTTATGCAAATATGCCTTTAACAGTAAAGGAATGGGCAATTTAGCCCCCCCTAAGAATTATTAGCCCCTTTGAATTTTTTTCTTCTTTTTTAAATATTTTCCAAACAATGTTTAACAGTATGTCTGATAAAAAAGTCTTATTTGTTTTATTTTGGCTAGAATAAAAGCAGTTTTTAGTTTTTTAAACACCATTTTAGGGACAAAATTATTAGCCCCTTTAAGCTATATTTTTTTCTCGATAGTCTACAAAACAAACCATCATTATACAATAACTTGCCTAATTACCCTAAGCTGCATAGTTACCCTAATTAACTGAGTTAAGCCTTTAAAAGTGTCTTGAAAAATATCTAGTCAAATATTATTTACTGTCATCATGGCAAAGATAAAACAAATCAGTTATTAGAAATGAGTTATTAAAACTATCATGTTTAGAAATTATTTGAAAAAAATCTTCTTTGAAAAAATTGGGGAAATAATAAACAAACGGTCGGATAATTCAGGGGGGCTAATAATTGTGACTTCAACTGTATATATATATATATATATATATATATATATATATATATATATATATATATATAT